CAATAAAACAGCAGGAATTCCTGTCTGTTTAGCCTGAAGTAAATTACGTGATTTTGAGTGAAATACACTTTTAAGTGTCAGTTTTTTTTTTTAATTGTTCTTATTGATCTATGGTTTTAGAAGATCAAGTTTTTTTTATCAATTATACTCTTATTTTTCACCTAATACTTAATGATTTTTTACATTTTTCATGAAAGTTGAAATTAAAAACAACTTGTATATAACTATTGTGGAGTAAAAATGAAAAGAATTCAACAGAAAATTTATTGCATTTTTTAGTTTTCGTATAAAAAACCTTAAAGAGTGTTTGGAGGGAGCTAAAAGATCTATTTGGTTTAAAGGAAGGGTAAGTAAGAATTTTAATAAAGGAAAGGGGAGGAATTAGAAATTTTGTTTGGTTGAAAGGAGGGTAGATAGCTATTTTCTTATTTGATTCAAAATGAGGAGAGATTTTAAAAATCAATTTATCTTTGTATCCTTATAATTTTAATTTTAAAAATATAAATAAGAATATTTTGGACATTTTATTAAAAAATTTAAAATTCCTCTCCCTTTCAAATCCCCCAACATTGGAAGGGAGCTAGAATTAGATGAGGAGACTCCCCTCCATTCCCCTCCTAAAAACCAAATAAGAAAAAATTATGAAAAGCCCCTCTCCTCTCCTCCAAACAGTGTAAACGGCACTTAAAAAGTTGCTAAGGTAGTACCTTCTTTGTAGCAATCAATTCTGCTTCCAATGCATCCACACGATAAACAGCAGCATTAAGCAGCTCCTCTTTCTCATATGGCATCACATTTGGTTTTGACTGTAGCATGTCAACCTTCTCTTCAAGCTCACCAAGGCGTTTCAAAGCAGATGAGATGAGTTCTGCCTTCGTTAATATGGGAACAGGAGATGGGGGACGAGATACCTCCTTAGTTATTGAATGCACAGTCATGTTAGGCATATTTTTGGCAGAATCAGATTTAGTGTCATGCATTCCCTTAGTCACACGTAATGCTAGTGAACGTGCAATAGTAAAGATGGCCACAAAGAAGCCCACGATAATAGCCCAGATATATGCACACTTGCCGCCAGACTTTCCAGTCCTCAATAAGAAAATTTCTGCAACAAATAACAGATACATTACAATTATACTTTTCTTGGATGCCAATAACCCTGGGTGGGTAGTAAAATCCCAATCTAAAATCTACTACCTTGCAAATTTTGTTCAATTTATGCATTGGTAAATAACCATCAATGAATCCAAATATGTGAAAAGATATATAAAGCATAATTGCCGATTTTTTAATTCTCTTAAGTATATGTTATATTGTTAAGCAGAACCATAAATATGTTGAATTTGCAAAGACTGTGGCATTGTTTCTCTTCATCCCAGCAGGCTTAAATAACATGAAAGCAAGTTAACAATGGGGGCATATCTGAATCAATAACTTCAGGAAATATGCATCAAGTCTCTAACCTGTTGACCCATGTGAGTTTTGAGTTGTTACTTGTTTCTCCTTCCATCCAAGGTCAACAGCTTTGTCAACCATGGGAACATACTCATCATATGCAGAGAAACCGTCAGAATGGTTGGCCTTACCAATCAATCTTGCCTGGACAAACATCAAAGTAGTTGTATTTCATTCACTGGAACATTTTTCTATTCTTTCTTTTTTCAACATCAATACCAAAGTCATGATCACTTACTTCTTCATGGACAGGAGTTAACCTAGGGTTTGTATAATTCCCACTTGCTTTGGGAGAAGTGATATCTTCGACTTCAGATCCTGATTCTGCTGTTGATGTATCACTACTTCTTATTGGCTAATAAAATCCAAAACAAAGAGCTGATAAGAATCATAAAATATGAATGTTCAATTGCTCATTATTAAGTGTCTAATAGATGGCTATAAATATAAAGAATGAGCTGATAAGAATGGTAAAATCTGAAAGTTCACATTCATCAATCGTCTAAAATGGTTATACCATTGGAAAGCATGCCTTATCACATTGAATGACTGTCCCCTCATCGTTAGAAACTGTTACTATTTGCCTAGAACATTGCACTTCACCGCTAAGAACCATCTGCAAGCACACAAGTGTTCTAGCTGAGCACAGAAGCATACTAAATATTTAGTGAAAAGCAGAGTCTAAATATTGCATGATAAGCAGCAAACCTTTATAATGTTTGGATCCTGCCATGGTCCTTTATCAGACCTCATACAACCACCTTGATCTATACAAGTGCAACAACCACCTAGAAATTCAGGCAGCTCACTGAAAAACCACAGGTAGTCAGAATTTCCAAATAACTATAAAAGTTGGTTGATAGATAACACCTTTAAACAAAAATTAATGCATAGTTACCTTGCATCAATAACTTCAAGTAATTTGTTCTGGAACTTGTTTCCAAGAACCTAATGCAACATTAAGGTATCAATTAATAATATAACAATAGATTATCTCTGTCATCTGTAAAAGATAATCATTGAAATCCTATAAAAATCTAAAACAAAAAGAATAGCAGATCAAATAATTAATACGTACATTTATCTTTGAAGTAGTTTTGGGATCAAGAAATGTTTTCACTGTGTTCCAAAGCAGCTTAAAACCAGGACCAGCATTGATTATAAACATTCGACATAATGTCTGCACAGAATCATTTTAGGTTAGAAGAGATATCAGAGCAATAAGTTCAGAAGCCATGAAGAATTGAAAACTACTAAAGAAAATCTATGATATAAGTCGCATACTTCTGGATAGTAATCACCGTCAATTTTCTGCAGCCGCATGATGAGTTCCCGTGCAGATTTGGTTAGGTTTTTGAAACCCTGAAAACATAATTCAGGGTACCAAAGTAACTATTGACTAAATTTAAATTTAAATAGTGGAAGGAAATTTTGCAGACTACTTAGACAGACAACATACCACGCCGTAAACATCCAAAATGGTTGTACTTGAATCTATATGTCTCTTTGCCGCAATGGAACATGCAGGAAACTTAACAGCAAACGTTTTCTCAAAACCCTGCACATGGTATCTCAAATACCTTTCCATGGTAGTCACTTGCATAAGCTTATTAGGATCAACTTTACCTAGCCTCTCGATATAAACAGGTCTTCCTTCCTTATCCACACCATGATAACCATGTGGATAGTACTGCAGGACTTCATTCAACTCACTGAATTCAAAATCCTAAAGAGAAAGATAGGAAACCAAAGTAGTATAGCATGAACAATGAATTCCGAAACGTACGGTTGATTAAACCAAACATCATCAACCAAAGAAGAAAACCCAATAAGAAGTTTCGTGTATTTTTCAAATAAGATGACTCACCTCCATAATTGTATCAGTACCAAATTCTTTCCTCCACTGGATCATGTTGGCCCACATGTGCTTCGCTTTCTCGATATCAAATTTCCTTGCTTTCAAGAATCTGCAAAAACATCAGTTAATTTGAGTTTTACATTATATTGCAAGGCAAACAAGCTATCTGTGTGAGAAGCATGTCAAATGTGAACATGCCAAGACACCATCTTATGTTTACTACATATGCCATCAGCAAATTGTTATGATTTTTATGGGTAGTTTGAAATACAGAAGGCCATGAACCCATGATCAAAATCAATCTATTACAGACGACTCATAGTTACTAAAGGTATAACAAATTAACAATGACGCATCTGTTGTGATCACTGCAATCTATCTTCTGCAGATATGTTCAAATATAAGTAATAAGGGGCAGTAACCTGAGTAACATATGATAGTCATCATGTCTTGAAGGCAACAAGTTATCCGACATAAGCGCTTGTCGAAAAGCATCCACTGCTTGGAGCTCCTTAACATCTCGAACATCCTCAATGGAAACAGAATTGCTGCGGCTCGCGGTCTTCCTCCTGCTGCTTTTCTTCCTAAGAGAATGCCTGAACTTGCTTGAAGCATTAATCGCTTTCTTTTTCAAACTACCAATCCTCGTTCGCCTATCATCTTCCGAGTTCTCAAAATCCGATTTCCTCTCCCTCCTTTCATCGTGACCAGAAAACCCTTCAAAGCCTATCAAACAACAGAATCCACTCCAATCATCATTCAGAGCTCAGGATTGGACACAATTGCACAAGCTTTTGAGGTTCAAACCACATAAATTGTTCATTACAGGCAAATCTGAATAGATTGATTATCTTATCAATCAACCCACAACTCACTTATTAAATCACGCAATTAAATCAAATTCAGCTAGTTTAAACCTTAATTCCAGTTGAATCGGTGATGCAGATCAAAACACAGGATAATTGAATCAATAGGAGGTAATTAACGCGTTGAATTAAGATGAAAGAGAGAAACAATTAAGGCAGTGGTACTCACAGGGACGTGCGAAGCGATCAAGAGGCCCAGACATGTGAAGAATAGTGTTAATTGAAAATGAAAGTTGCGTGGTGGATGAAAGAAAACATGAGATTGAAGAGTAAAACCAATTGAGTGGAACAGAAACCGAATTAAATAAGAGGTTACGGTAGTAATGATTAGGGTGGTTGTGGTGTTGCAGAGGACAAACGAAGATAGATTGGAAGATGTCGGCAGAGGAAATGGTTTGTGAAACGGTGAAAAAATGCTTCAAAAGTCAAAACTGTAAATCAAACCACCTAGCCAGTCAAATTAATGTTTATTCGCCAAATGCCTTGCTTTCTCCCATCTGAGTCACTGACTATATTATATCTGTATTCTGTAATGTGTATGTGTGCCATGATTCTAAATACTCGTATATATTACACTTTCGATTTTACTCATGTTTGGGGATTAATCTAAATTAATTTTTAATTTTTAATTTTTAATTTTAAGATATTTATGTTTATGTGAGAAAACAAATACTAAGGCCAATTTTTTTTGTCATTAAATTAAATAACTGTTAATTGTTATTTTTTTTTTTTTAACAAATAGATATAATTTATGATGTTATTTTTTTGAAACAGCCGCCCCAATAATGTTTATAACAAATGAATTTGGATCGACTTAACACTAAGAATTGAGATAATTTACATGGGACTATATGTTTGAATTTTAATGCAATCATTAAACATACAAGTAAGAAATTAACGATGCACTTCAACAAAATTTTATATTAAATGAAAATATGAATGCTGAATTCCAATGTCACATGGGCCTACCAGAATTGCATTATTAGCCACCTTGTCCACCATTATTATGATCTCAAAATTGGCGGGAATTCGCCGTTGGTGCGGTGGTTGTTGATTGCTTGGTGCTGTGCTACCTACGCCTCTTCCCCATCAACAATTATTCCTTTTTTATGGTTCACTCATTACTTTTATTCTCTCATGTATCATTTCTATGGTAGAGATTGACTCTCGTCAAGTTTTTTTTAATAATTGTTGTATAATTCGTCTAATATTATTTTGTCAATTGAGTGCAAACCTAAATCCGGTTATTCTATTGAGGAAAAAGAAATGGTAATATTGTAAACTGACGCAAAGTTTCTTTTTCTTTTTTTAAGTCCACCTAAAGATAGTATTGATTGATATTAAATATTAATCAACATCATGGACTTTCCTTCAACCGTAAGGCACTTTGCCTCTTAAATTATTATAAATAATAATAATAAATTTCGCTATTTGCATAATGATGCGGGATTTGCTGACTTTTAATTTAACACTCTAGCGTGATTAAATGTATCAATTTATAGTTATCATAATTGTGCACCAAGAAAATTAAATGACAGTTGTTTTTACTATAAAGAAAAAACATTATCTCATAAAAAGATTTTGTTTATATTTTTTTATTATAATATTGATAAAAAAATATCTTCAAATTTTGTCAAAAATTAGTCTCTCTCAAAATATTAACTGTATTAAGACAACTAGTCTCTCTCAAAATTTTGAGAGCATTAAAATTATCTCTCCCAATATTATTTTTTTTATTAAATCCAAAACTCAGAATTCAAAATTTTGAGACTTGAAAATTAATTACAAAATTACAATACTAATTAGATCTACCAATGTTGATAAATTTTGTTTATATTTGCAATCTTTTGTGCATTTCCATTGTCATTAAATCGTCCAAATATTAGGAAAGCAATCTAACATGGGCTCCTGGCAACATGATAGGAAAAAACTTTTGGAGGTATTTACACGTTAAAATTAGAGATCGTATGTGAAGAGTGATTGTTCAGCGTAGTTTAGTTCAAGAATTAAATTGAATAAGCGCCGAATAATTATGAGTACAAATGCATTTAAAATTTCTGTATGAGCTAGTCTACCTAGAAATAAAAATCAAATGCATAAATAATTGGGAACTAAGTAATACATTTACAGCATTTTATCTAACCATCCCAAATATTTTAATAATACAGAGAAACACAGCCATCAGTCACATACTGCATCCCATGAATAAATTTCGTATTACATATTAACAGCTTTTGAGAATTGAAACAAGTCTCAGAAAAGTTCCACATGATTGCATAAACATCAATGTTTAGAAATATATATACAAATATTCACAGATAATGTAAGCATTTATAGACTGAGGAAGGGAGACACGACTGCTATCAACTCAGCTGCACCGAACCCCCTCGATATTCTACTATAAGATTGTATTTACAATTAAAGCATTCAGAATCTGCAACAAAATAAAAGTTGTCAACAAACAATAAAGCTGTCCAACGGAACAAACAAAAACATGGTCCTGGGTTGGGGTAAAATGATCGGGTATAGAATTCTTACGCCAAACATTTATTTTTCATATCAAATAAGCTTCATACCTGTTATTCACGTTTTTTCCCGACCTAAGTTGATTAAGTTTGTCCCTGAACAAAGCTGGGGTAGGGTTGCATCAGAAACATGAGATGTGTAAGCATCAAGTAAACATTAGAGACGTACAATTAATATTTTTACATCAGGGATGATATTGACATTTGATGGATCTTAAGCAAAACAATAGATATGCACTAGATATGCACTCTTATACATATATATTTTATAATCATGTTATTGGTAAGAAATATACACCTACTTTACTGATCATTAATCTCTATTGAAGAACCTGATTAATTATCCCAATACTTTACTTACCGGGACCTAGATTACATCATAAATCAATTCAATTCATGTACAAAGGAAAAGCCATTTATCTAGAGAACTGGATTCCTAGAACATGACTTCACAAGTATATAAAAATACAAATAAAAATGAAACTCATAAATTCTTAGCAAAAGCATGATCTGATTATGATAATTTAAGTTGCCTCGTCTATCACAGTTTTCCTACTTAATAAGGCCAGGGGCATATAGCATACAAGTTTGTTTTAAACTGATGATACCAAATGCTTTTAGACCATATAAATTTGGTAAAACAAGAAAGTATTAGGATCCACTCATGTTACTCACTATATTGAAAAAGTCATATTTTAAGAATACAAACATGAGAGAGGATCCTCGAACAAGAGGAAAATTAGAAAGTTGATACTTGATACTACTCCTAGTCTACAACTAATAATGGCAAAAATATCAAACTAGTACTGTTGACTAGGGACATGATTGGCTGCAACTATCATCAATCACAAATGACATCTAAAGCATTTTTGCCATACATCATACATTAAAAAAAACAAACAAACTCAAAAACATTAAAACAAAGTCAATACATTAAAGAAACAATAATAACAATAATTACCAGCATCTTTATAGCGCTCTTCAACAACAGCTTTCAACATGTTATGCAAAAGATTGAATTCTGCGGTCTCAGTGCAAGGCTGATCACTTGGCCTGCAGTTATATCACCTTTAAGTTAGAAGATGTCTTTTCATAATGAAAAATTACTAATAACGAGACATATTCCAAGATTTTTATTTTCTATTAAAGAAAGTATCAAAAACAGAAACTACACATACTACAGATAAGTCATATTGCCTTAAAGCAATAATATATCTTTTTCACAAACATACCGGTCCATTTCAGTAAATAATTGGCCATCCAAACCATGGAACTGTGTTGACAATTTGCCTGATTCAATTACTCTCATACCATCACTGTATGCCAGGTATTTATTGACTTGTATTGGAACCTACATCATTGGCAAAATAGTGAAATCTCTGATAAACCTTAGGATTTGACTTTCAATCATAACAATCCACAGTGCATCCAAGGATATGAAGCTAGTAAAACTTCGGGAGTTGTTAAAACTTAAACTAGCTTCATTTTACTAGCATAACTTGGGATTTGGCCTTCAATGAAAACAGTCCAACAGTGCGTCCAAGGATATGAAACTTGCCTCCACAACTAACCTTTTATGATAATAGAATTTTCAAAATGAAAAAGCCCTGCCAGCACTTGATTTTTCCAATATTAGCTGGGGGGAAAATTGGACAACTACTAACAAAAGCAATAAGAGAATGCAATATGATGCAGGTAATTATGTATTTATATGGCGGAAATCACAAATATTACCTTGCATCTTACTGCAATATTGATAGCGTCTGAAGGGCGAAGATCAAAGCTCACACATTCTGCCTCATTTCCAACCTATACCAAATATCAAACATAATTTAATTGTCATACAACATTTGGATTTTTTTTTTTTTTTTTTTTTTTTTTTTTGTCTTGGGGGAGGAAGAGTACAAAGTAAATGCCTTCGTAAGAAACAACTGGGCAAAGTATGCCTCATGTACTCTCCTGGTAACTCTGACAAGTCTGATCTGTAGAAGCAGGAAATGACATGAGTTGATTCTTAATTTCATCATGAAATCTGATGGAAAGAACACAATACAATCAGGATTAGGAGTAAGTATGGCGATAAACAGAATCATACTTCGTAACCCATCTTGTCAATCATCTCCTTTACTACTTGATATAAAGTAGGTCTAGCCTGATACAGAAACCAGATAGTTAATACCATGGGTCATATTACATAAAAGCAGAATCTTTTGGGATCAAACATTTGATTAATTACACATCTTGGAAGAATAAGAGAAACTGTAATCAGATATGTATGATGGTAATTCAGTGGAATTCAGCTGACAAAGAGGACATACTATGGGAACGTTGCGTATTGCTGCCATTAGTAAGATGCTTGGCATCTCCACTGCAAATAAACACGTTCCAGAAATTTACAAAGGTACGGTTATATGATTATCAAAATCAAATCCTAGAACTAAGTTTCTATATAAAAAACAACATTCAGGGAGTAAGAGAGACATACAAACAATTATAGGAAGAAGTAGACCAGTCCCATCTTCCATCTTCAATACAATAGCAGGATGTGGTGCATAATCTGGAAGATGTCCTCCCTGAGGATTGTTATGGACACATCTTAAGTGTCTTCCATCCCTCATTTTGATTATGAAACCATCCACTCCACTCTTCACCTCAACTAGTCAACAAAATCACAGAACAAGTGTATTTCATAAGAGCCAAATGGGGAGGAGACACTGTTTGCCAGAGCTTCTTGCACTAGCATTATAGACATTCAATTAGCCCAAATCACCATTTAAATAACACATATATATGCACTACATTGATCATATCAGCATATTGCCATGTTGATCGTGGCATTGTGCTAACATAGAAGTAAGTGGACAATTAATTAACACAACCTAATAATTTTCATTCATGCTTACCTAATATTATAATCCTTATAATATAGAATTGTTTTCGTTTTGGTCCTCTTATAAAAAATTCTTGTTTTAGTGAATGTTCCTGTTAAATGATATAAATGATTGTTTTGGTCAATGTTCCTGTCAAGTGAACATAACCAGATGCTTAAATGAAACAAAAAAAAAATTATAGGGATCAAAACTGAAAAAAAAAAATTAAGATCAAACAAAAATAATTCTATATTATAGGGATCAAAAAGTTACTTAAACATTTTATTGATATCCAAATTGTCATAGCCAAACACATACCAGCTTCAATCACACTAGAGTTAACATAATCTTCATCTTTTTCATTGAAATTATCCGCGGAACTTCCGTTGTCATTGGTGGGTGAGTTAAAACTACAATGCACAGTTTTGAACCTTCGTGTGTTTATATGGCAAGAAAGAAAACCGGGTTTAGCCTTGGCACCACCGAGACCCCAAAATTCACTTCTAATGCGTCTCACGTTCATTTTCACTGCCCCAATCACAGGAATGCCG